AACGTCCGTCCCGACGTGCGGGAGATATCAGCGAATGCTCAATCGATCGCGGTGGACTGACACGGCGTATCATTCCACGTACGCACTATTTGCGTATCCATTATCGGGGTATTATCGGGAGCAAACCCCACCAGAATACGGGAAAACTCGTCTCGCCGCGGTATTTCGATGATATTTCAGTATAACGGCCGCTTCGCGAGTTCTCAAGCATTGCCGAGCATTCCCCGGCGCGGATGTACCGAGTCGCGGCGCGATTTAGGCTGAATTTCGCCTTGACTGTAAGACGAATCGATCCGTCCGTTCACCGGCGCTGCGTCGAAAAATTCATCGTTGTTTCGGCCAGTCTCGGCAAACGGGAGAGACCGTCGCGGACGTTAACGCGGTCATGGGAGCCAACAATTTGCACGTCAAAGGCGGTCCTCGTTTGTCGTAACTCGCGAGAGTTATCGGCCACTGTCGGCCACCGCGCATTAAGCGAAATCGTCTGACATCAAGGCTGCGTTTCGAGCCAATTTAGAGGTAGGACCCGGAACAGGTCCGAGCTCAATGAAGCCGAGCCGCACTGGCGAGCTGATTACCGGCGTTTAAAGTACGATTTCGGTCAGCGTGGGCAAACCAAGCGCCTAACACCCACCGTTCGAATGGGATAAAAATGCCATGTCTAACTGACGTCGCGCGAAATATCGAATGGCAGGGGTTAAAGTAGCTTGCGAAATGTTTGAAAAGCCTTTCGCGCGTGCGTTTAGAGAATACCTGACTTTTCATTCGCGTTTTTCCCCGATCCGCGGGGAACGAGCGTCGATAACACTTTGAGATGGAAATTGCATTTGCGGTGTGAATAACTCTCTCTCTCTCTCTCATCTCCCTCGTTGGAATTCGTTTAAAGGGCCACATTTTCGGCAGCCGCGCGATTCGTTCGCGTAAATTAGCGATTAACGTAATTGTTCCCCGCGAGGCGCCTCGCGTATTTCATATCCGAATTTGGAGCTTGTAATTTATTTGTTAAAAAAGCGCTCTTGAAAGATTACAATCACTTTTGAGAAAAACGGACGGGAGCACTCCAAAGAGAGAGAGAGAGAGAGACAGAGAGAGAGAGAGAGAGAGAGCACCTCGCGCCTCGCATCGACGGAAAGAAATTAGTCGCCAGTAAGTTTCGCCCAAGTTTCTGACGGCGGCGAGCCGAGCTGCCCTTCGTAATTCCCTTCGTCGTGCTCCCCGATGCTCGTTACGCCTCGATTCAACCGGCGACTCGTGGACGACTCGAAAAACCGAGCCTAACGCCACGCTTTCCGCCAACTTGCAGAACTGAAGATATTCTCAAGAATGGAGTAGAGACCGCCCCGGACGAGAGGAAACGGGTCGAGATCTCTCGTCGCGAGTGCACCAACACGAGACGCATGGTGCGATGAGATCCGTGTACCCGAACATCACCGAAATGTACAATATGATCGTGCTGTGCAAACGGTGAGTGGCCTAGTGAGAAGTTATAAGCCGCGACTGCGACTTGTAAGCGATGGGCCTTGGAATATCACGAGCGCGCCGTTGACGACGATGTTCTATAATTCCAGGACGAGATCCTCGAAATACCCCGACCGGCACAATTACGGGCTGTGGACGATCGAGCCGAGTATCTTGAGCATTATCGGATATACCGTGGTCATTCCCGTAGTTTCCGCACTCGGGATAATCGGCAACTCCCTGATCCTCGCGGTCCACTTGAGAGCGAAGACATATTTGAAAGCGTCGACATACACATATTTAGTAGGTCGGTGGAGACGCCGCAGTCAGCTATGAATTAATGTGGAATTCACCCGCATCCGCTCCGGATTTGTTATTGTTATGCGCTCGGAGAGTGAATCCCCCGTAATCGCCCTCGATGACAATTATGCGAATCGAACTGGTCGCCAGCGAGGATTTCAGATAATCGGGATTGTTCGATACGCTCAACCTTGAAATATTCTAAGCGTTATTAACAGAGTTGGGAAAGTTACTTTATAACAGTATCTAATTACAGTTACAGTTTTTTTGCTAAAAATGTAATGCGATCTGCGGATGTTTAAAGTACATATAAAGCAACTCTCACTGTAACTATTAAATTAGTTATTACTTATCGAAAAAATGTAACTGAGTTAAGTTACAGTTACAGATGGAGAGAAAGTAACGAAGTTAAGTAAGAGTCGCCAAAAAAAAGTAACTGTAACTCCGTTACAAGTAACGAGTTACTTCCCAATCCTGGTTATTAATCACGCCGCTATATTAATGGCGTCGAGAATTCACACATTATTCTTACGCAGTGCTCGCGACCTCGGATCTGATCACCTGCGTCCTGATCGTTTTCTCCAGTCTGGCCAGGGGCGTTTTTCGCTGTCAGAGGGGCTGGCTGGAATTCGACGCGTTCGTTCACTTCCCGATCGGCTCCGTTACCTCGAACATCACAGTCTGGGCCGCGTTGGGTATGAGCGTCGACAGACTGATAATAGTCTGCAGGTAAAAACGCAGTAATTACTCATCACTTCGTTAGACTCGCAGATCAAGCTTTAACCCTTTCAGGATCACTGGGACATAAAAGTCCCACGTACATTACTGTCTTCTGGTTCCTTGAAACGCCGCTGTTCCACGTGTAGTATGTGCTACCGTCTGGCAGGAACATGTATAATTATTTCAAACTGAAGAAACGTTCGTTGACGTTAAATCATTGTATTCAAAAGTTATAAAAAATGTTTCAATACAAAATCTTAATAACTTACTGCAACAAAAAAACAATGGGGTCCTGAAAGGGTTGGAGATGTACGCGTTTCGTTGGCGAAAGGCATTCTTGATGGGCCGAAACGATTTAACGAGATTTGATTCCCACAGCATGCCGCGATGCAAGTCACCGAGGTTCTGCAGGCGGCAGGTAGCCCGCAAACTGATGGCCTTCGCCACCTGCTTCGCCATTTTGATTAATATACCGTACTGCTTCATGTACAGGTACAACGAGCGTGGCGATCTGGTGACGACCAATTTCTTTCACTCGCGGTAAGAAACGACGACAACTGTGATCGCGTGAAGGTGTGTCCTTGATGGTGCCCGATTTCCCATTTCAATTTCCCAAAATATTCCCAGCCACCCCTAACTCTCCGCGCGGAGAGATCGCATTAATAAATATGCCCACACCCATCCGTACTTTTCCCTATTCTTCTCACAAATTCAATTTTGCCCGAAACCCAAATAGCGCCGGGATGGTCTTTTGCAGGTGGTACAATCTTCAGAATTGGCTTCAATTCGTAATATTCGGCCTGATACCGGCCGCATTTCTGCTCGTCGCGAACGCCATTATGTTATACTCCGTGAGGAGGGCCCTCAAGCAGAGAGAGATGCTGCTGAAGCGCAAAAATATACGCGAAGGGAATCGCCTGCGGGTAACGTAACTACGTTAGCGCGAGAATCCGTGCGGGGAATGTTTACCGTACGTTTGCCTCGAGAAGTCCTGAAAAAGGCCGCTAAACCGTGTCCTGTAATTAGCTCCGACCTAAAAACACGCCTTCGGACAGGAGTCTCTCGATCGTGGACTATAGAAATCGTAATCAGTTCTGAACTCGCGCTGCGCCACTTCAGGATTCTGTCCTGCTCCGGAACCTGAATGAGCGGCTGTTGTACTTCACCACTTTAGAGTGTCTCGGGGCGCGATTTGCATGAAACTCATCCGGGAACCGAGTGGTATCCGGAAACAGAGTCTCGCGCGAGTCATTGTTGTCTCGCGTAATTGGAAAAGTTTCCCTCGAAAACCGACGATAACATCGCTGTCTTTGCGAGCGCAATTATTAAAACTTTGTCGGCGCTCGCTGCGTAGACAACCGCTTCTATTATCGCTTCGAAAAGCGTATCCGAGTGACTTTGATTCACTTATCTCGCTAGCGAATAGCTCGCTTCTCATTCCTTCTCATTCTTAAATATTCGTTATAGATTTTAAACTTTTTTTCTTTATTAACTAGAACTGCCCAGTACTACGTGAAATGTTCCCCAAGCGATACGCGTGTCTCAAAGATGTCTCGAAGACGTCTCGCTTTGTCTCGTTTCATCGCAATTGATTTGCCATCTGTCAGGATCAAGCCCGGCTGACGATCATGCTGGTCGGTATCGTATTTCTCTTCCTGGTGGGCGAGCTGCCAACTCATTTAGCGTCGCGTCGCAGCGCTGTGTCTCTGCTTTACGGTGGTGATCCCTTCAAAGTTCGCGAGGACATCATGGAAAGGTGGGTGATGAAATGTGCTATACGCCGCGACGATTGTTAAAGCAGTCTTGGTCAAAGGGATACGCGCGTTGCGCGTTGAAAGGAAAGTTTTTCCCGTGGGACGCTGTTAAAAGAGAAACGTGGTCAAAAGCACAATAATTTTTGCTATCAAACGTAAAGGAGGAAAAGTATGATGCGCGAGATTCAAACTTTCTACTTTTCAGAGCATTTTAATCTAGATCAACATGACGGCGAAATTGTAAAAGATTTTCTTTATATTGTAAAGGGGGATGCCACTTTATATATATATATATAAATTAATTTCAAAGTTGGAATATGGTACGTGTGAAGCCGTGCGTTCTTCTATTGTCCCTATAATTTATTCACTCTGTTGTGCATTTCCGCAGCTTCCGTATGTGGGCGACTTTTCTCAACGCACTAGCGAGTTCGACGAATTTCATACTCTATTGTATGCTGAGTCCATACTTTTTCGTGCATTTGAAACGCATGTTACTTCCGGAGCACGTTGTGAGAAGGAAATACGCTAGGGGAGGACCGATCGCTTACTTTCACCAACAACCACGTGGCACAGCAAAATGCGAAATATTTGTATTATAGCATTACTGAGATAAAAATGATCGGTAAATCCTATCTACAGATCTTTATTAAGGACACAATACAATAATCACGCAAAGTTACGAAAGCCAGTTTATTCCTACGGCAATTATTCCCTAATGACAAGTAATCGTGAACGCGTTGTCCACAAATGCGCATCTCTTCCATTTCTTAATTATAGAAAGTCTTTCAGCAATCTTCACCGTAAAAGTCGACTCGATGAAAATAGACTGCGCTTAAAAATGTAACGCGTTTAACGTGATACACGATGCGACACGTCGAGATTCATTGTTTTACGATGGTGAAGAGACGGTTGATACCACGTGACAAGAACATGCTTGTCACCCGATCCCCAACGATCTCGCGGCTTCTGCTGCTGAACATTCTCTTTAATGGGAATCGACAGGAACACTTCCGACGCTGGGGGCAATTTCGTACGTGATTGTTCCTGGCTTTTGCGGAGCTGTCTTCTGTAGAGCTGCCTAGCCAGAAGATAGACCAGCTCTATTACGCTAATCACTGAACCACCGAGGCAGAGACCGAAGATACCACCGAAGGATGCTGAAATGTTATAATTCGCGCGACATGCTTAGACTGGAATCTGATGACAAATTAAATTGATCGAGGATAAGCGAATTCTCTCTCCCCGGCGCTAATCAGAATCCAACCCACCGAGTAACGAATCCCAGCTGAGGATGCTCTCCTTGCGGTACTCGACGTACGAATTGTCACCGAAAAATACATATACGAAAGACACATTATTTATATCGTAGCCGTGCCTGCAATGGTATGAGAATGAGCCTGCGTACTCCGTGACAATAATTGTACCAGTAATCGCGAAAAAGTTAATATTCTTTTCAGCGAAGACACGAGTAGACTCACGTTAGATCGGAATCGAATCCCACGTCCTCCATTTTTACACTTTCCGGGTTGATTTGATACAACATATCGGAGCACTGAGGCAGGCACCTTCTGCAAGTTCCCATCTTCGCGTAATCTGGCATTGATTCTGAATTTTAGAAAATGGCACTGTGTGTAACTTTGTAACAATCAGATGTGTGATGTATTCGATTGCAAAATTGTATGTGCGTCTTGTGTGCGTGTGATCGATACGTATAAAATTTCTTACTTCGGATGCTCAACAAGCAATTTATATCTGGCAAGTAACATGTCCTCATCCCCCTGTCTGCCAGCATATTGAAAATCATAACGTTATGTAATATATTTAATTACTTTGTGTATTATTATATCATATTAATTGTATCCCCGATGATTAATCGTATTTTCAAAACGTTTCTTTCAAACTGTCCCTCTCAGCCTTCAAAGTTATAAAATTGAAATTGAATACAGCAGCTGTACGTTACTCCAAAAGCAAAAATCTGTTTCATTGAATAATTTAATAATCTTGTGCACACTCACGCGTCTCCGGATAGTAAAACGGCAGGCAGCCGCATACACGATATATGCGCTTGGCTATGCACTCTGATAAGCACGACTGATGACTGTAACGAATCTCGTTCGCTACCTGAAGGTGTATTTATTACAATCGTGCGAAATATGAAATTTAACGAAAGGTGCAAAATGTTCTTACGCTAATAATAAACAACGTCGGGCCAAAACTGTACAGGTGGGTGGGCACGTAATTTTACCTCGTCGTCGAAATAGCAGAGACGTTTCTTTCGGGGAATGCCCCGCAAACTTTCCATGCCTCTAATGGACGTGCCGGAAACGGATATCGCCAGGACGTGACCGGGTGGCACGGACGCGATGTGTGCACCGATATCGGGGAAATCGATTGGGTCGTGTATCATGATGGAGGCTCCTACGTAAGGACGCGAGGTAGCCTTGTACGTATGGGGCTCGATGTTCAAAGCGACCGCGAGTCCCACGTCGCGGCCGCTCCCGGGCACGTTCTAGAAAAGAAGATTCACCCCAGTGTGCAATCTCAGAAACACAGTCGGTCGAGATTAACGCGAGAACGTCGGGCGTTACCAGAATTTTTCGCACACCCGGCAGCTCGTCAGAGGTGACGTTGAAGTCGGTGGCATTCAAGCTCGTGTCGTTGGGCCTGCAGGATAATGACGAAAGCGTAAAGTAACGCGCCTAAATGTCGGACGAGCCTGCATCCAGGCTAGTGCCGAAGGATTCGTCGTTTATTTTGTTTTTTCATTACGCTTTGTATCAAATAAAGTCCCGAGAACCGAAGTCCTCGGAAGACAGAAACGATGAGCTTTTTTCTAGATGCAACTCACAACGAGATAAAGCGATGATCGTACTGAAATTTCATCCGACAAACAAACGACGAACCTTTGGCACCAACTTTGGCATGATATATCCGCGGGAGTTACATTTGTCTGATGTTTAGGTCGTAATGAGAATTGAAAGCGCAACAGAAACCCTCCCTCGACCTGACAGTTTTGAAGATCTTCCCGCAATCGTGAATCTTACCGATCCAAGCGCACCTCAACAGCAACGCGCTGCAAGGCTGCATCAACTGTATACGAGTGACATTGTTAGTTCTTAAGCGCTCGAATTTCTTTTAATCGAATCTTCGTGGCGACAGATTAATCATTAAAACAAAAAATTTTACCTGCTCCATGAGTTCTTCGACCGTTACATCGAGATTATCGAGGAGCTGTCTCGCGGTCACATTGTCTATCGAGATCTTATCGGGTCGTATCAGCTTCATTAGCGACGAGAAAAATTTGTCGCTGTCCTCCGCGGTGAATCCGTTCGTGTATCTATCGAACCGCGCAGAATCGGGACGTAATATCGGACATGGAGATTCAACTTCGCCGACCCGAAATTAATTAAACTAATTGTCGCATATAGATCGACGTATCAGATAGGTGCGGAAGATTTGTCGTATTTTATCAAATCAAATTGAAAGCAAATTTTCAACAAAAAGCAGACAAACAAAACTAACCGTTTCGGTATACGTTTTTCATCTAGAATTTTTTAATTCCCTTTTACCATATTTCTCGAGAAACCTCGATTTTCTAATTTTATTTAGAGGTTTCGTGAAAAACCAACAAACCTTTCGCGCCCCAACTCAACTCGAATAGATTTATTAATATCTTACAAATTCCTTGCAATAAGGTCGGCGTGTGGGCGGTACACTTTGTTATTGTTGCATATGGTGACGGCCGGAAAAGGCACGTCCCATATCGGATTCGACGTGTAAATGGTCGTCACTATGGGATTGTTGGAGTAATTCGCCCACAGGCGCAGCATTAGTATAACGCAGAACACGATGGACGATATGCAAACCTGTCGAATGTAAGAGTAAATTGCGTTTCCCGGACAGGTATTACTGACCTCATTCTTGCGCTCTTGAGATCACGAGATCCTCACCATGAACCAGAGAGCACTCTCGATTATCGACGATCCATCTATACTTATGTAGCGAAAGCCATGTAGACTTGTATGCTCGTAAAACCATCCCAGATACTTCTTCACCCCGTACGCCAGGCTTTTGCGATATCCTGCCACGGTACGCACGATATCGATTTGTTCAACACGCAGAAGAGATAAGCAATTACAGATGTTGACAATGACGAATATTAATAAGCATCAATGTTAATTAACAAATTTAAATAATGTTAATATCTTACTAGATTTTAAACCGTTGAATTTGGACGCCTTGTTCCAGTGTGTCTTCATGTTTCCAGAAGCTAGCGCGTTAATGCTTATGAAAAACAAACTGGCACATGCCAGGGGAACCACCGAATGACTAGATATATTGCCGGACGCGTACTGTAATTTCTTCGGCCGCGCGGCTACTCTTCATTTCCGGCTCGATCGCTGCGTGTCATTCAATTTTCTACCAATATCCCTAAGTAAATTCGATGGAATGGCATTAAGGTCCCAGTAATGGCACAAGATCCCAGTGGCTCATACCTGAACGTCCACTCTATTTTGATTGTCCGCTCGCGAAGGCCACGAATTATTTACTCCAGTATCGCGGTGCTCTATAATTTTAGGTTCATTACATTCGGCTAGTTTTCTGTTAAGTAATTGGATAACTATCGCGTTTTTCAAAGCGCGACACAAATTCGCTGTAGTACCGGAGGTCTAAATATATCTACACAAGCATTTGACACATTTATCCAGTGATTCCAATAAGAATTCGAGTAATTTTCTGCTGAGTAATTGGAACGTGCGCTATCGCTCTCTTCGAAAGCGTGACATGTTTAACAAAATTTCACACATTTATACCTGAATACGTCTACACAAGTCCGATGCATTTTATAAGTTTATCGCACTTTCAATAAGAATTGCTTTGATCCGCTAAGAACTTAAGCGTGTCCTTTTATCTATAACAATTATTAATGATTCGTCGTACCGAGTCGCAATGTCAAGGAGTAGCGGCAGGGCGAGTTGAATCCGCCCGATGGCTCACTCGATGAGATAAAAAGATAAAGGCGCTTCTCCTTTGTACTAACTTTTATTTGACAAATAAAAAGTATCTGTTACAAATAATTGTAAACTGTTTATCTTATACAGTACACGTAATCGTGATACGTACGAGTGTATAGCGCTCTCTCTTTCTCTCTCTCTTCCACTTTTGTGATAATGCACGTTATCTCTTTCAACCCTCTCGCCATAGCAAAAGCCCAGTTGTAACAAACCGGTTTATCTATCTGGCGTCGATATTTTCCCCATGCACACACGCACTCGGACACGCACACGCGTCTATACACGCATATCCTCGCGCACTGTCATTCATTCACGCGTGCTCATGTGCCTCATCGTAATGAAATGGGTTACAGTTAACAAGTGTATGTACGTGTATGTGTGTGTTTGTGTTAGACGAAAAATGCATAACACGCGGACGAAGCTGCGCGTGGTATATAGTTTTGATTCATTTGCGGTCTCATTCGCATGTCTGTTCAAACGGGTGGGACCGCGATTACCCCTGCCATGTGGATCTCGGCGGACCGAGACGATTCCGCGAAACTATTCGCAGATCGACAGCCGTTAACAGTTTCTCTGACGTTGAAATAAATTACGCGATATCTAGCTTCATAATCGAAAAAATAAATCTACAAAGTACGTGTCTTGCGTAACGTGGGGCGTCACGCGACGAAACAATATATTTCTTTCTCGGTGTACGCTTCAATTTGAACAATGATTACGATACTAGAAACGAAAAAGAATTAACAAAAAGGGAGAGAAAAGAAAGAAGCGAATTGGGAAATCTCGTCACGGCCAATCGCGCCGATCTTTCTGCGAACCGGTCGGGCGGAATCTTGTTGCGAGAATAATGGGGAATCGCTGCTAACTCCGTTAAGTCCATCGCACACGCGAATTTACATACGGATCGTGATTTCACTTGACATTTTATGCCGAGCGTCATTGCTCGAGCCCTTTGTGTACCTATGCAAATCCGCGCGCGCGGTGATCCCGAAAACAGGCTGCGAATGCGTCACCTAACTGCCTACTGGTCGGTACACCTTTGTATAATGGACCACCACGGCCCACGGTCAAGATGCTTAAAAATGCCCTTCGTAGGCACCCTGATAGGGGTGACGTCTACTGACCAGACTAAATGTACTTTCAGGGGCTGGAGGAGAGAGAGAGGAAAGGATGTTACGAGTTAACTCGGGGCTGACCATCGGTACGCAGGGGAAACTGGAAAAACGGCGATTAGAGTGTCACTGTTACGTTTGACCGTACTTTCTCCATTTTTTTTCCCTTCTTATCCGTCAAAAGGGTTGTACTAGCTTAATATAGCCCGGCATACATCATAACAATTCGACCCTCCAACGGGCGCGGGTTCAAGGGTGACATTACTTGGCCATGTCCGATGGTATTAAATCGACTCCGGGGCGGAGCTCTCGCGATTACGATCGCTCGAATGACTGTGCGACGGCTAAATAACGCTTTTTTTTTGTTTCAGTACAATCGTTTTTAATTGCACTTGGAAAATCATCAACGCCGCTATTTGTCAAAAGGTACATCCGTTCGAGCAGTCATGTTTCAAAGTGCTATATAGTAGAGGTATATATTTACAGAGATCAAGTTGTATGCTGAATCCGGCTGTTATCTTTATAATATTCGCAATCGCGCCTTCGTATCGGAATTTCAGCGTAAGGATTTTGCACATCGACGAGGGTGATTGTAACGAACAATCTGATATATATATGTGTATATATATAGCATGATACATATATATATGCATATGTATATATAGCATGATACACATATATATGTATATATAGCAGTGGCAACAGCGTCATAGTTTTAGACCAATTCACTCGAATTCGCACGTTTCTCGCGAAGTCCTGTACAATATAATATAAAAAATAACTGCATAGCAAATGAAGAAAGAAAAACAATTGAAAAATGTTTCATTCACACATATCAGAGAACAGTGATGATTCATCAATACACCACTGCTACGATGGATTTCGTCCTAATCATATGCTAAACCAAATCGTTCGGTAGCGGTTCGCTCTTCGCCGATGGTGCCCCCTTCAACTTACATCTCTTTATTAAGCCTAAATATTTCTACCCATTAGAATGCTAAGAACGCTCACGCGTCCGCTAGGGGATGAAGGGTGTAATTAATACAGATTTGGGATAGGATATAATAACGCAAAAGTATTCTTATCAATAATCATACAGTAATAATTAATAATAACTACAATAATAATGCAACAGCAGAAACGCATACACATGCCGGTGTATGCGGCAATTAAGGAAGGGAAAGGGACATTAGTGGGTCTTATGTACAGTTTCTTTTTTGCGAATACACTTGTCAGTTCTTTTCCGGCGATTACGTTTACCTAGTAAAATCTATCTTTCTCTCTCTCTCGCTCGACCTCTCCGTTCCTTCGACACTGTTGCCCTCGCATTCACTCTATATGCGCTCTTATTCTTAGATTTTCGTAGGATTAGAATTTGTAAAGAATTTATCAAAAAGCTGGAAAGAAACGTAACGGGAAAAGTGTGCGTTGTCAGGTCTCGATGTTCAGGAGAGTCGCGTCTAACGGTTTCAAATTGGCTGTCTCGCGCCAGCGTCTCGATTGTTCGTTGGCACAATCTGTACAATTCAAAATTAAAACGCATTGATTTTCCGTCGGGCGAAAGAGACAAGAGCTAACGATGATAACGAAAAAAAAAATGAGAAAAAGAAGATACACGATGATTGCCTGCGAAATAGCCGCGTGTTTTACGGTAAAAAAAATGGATCAATCTTTGGACTTCCATTAGAGGATAAATATGTTTTCTTGGGAATGCTAACATTTCTCGGGGAGCATGGTGCGGTTGCTCGCCAGTTTGAAACCCCCCGCTGTCACATCGACAGTATGTGTCACGCGGACACGATACAAATAAGAGAATTCTATACTAAAGAAAGGCCGATATCGAAAACGTTAACGGTACTCGATTCGTAAATCGATTTACTCTGCAGGCTGCAATGGGCGACTACCATCCTTGAAAAGGACCGCCACATCAAGGTCACGTTAGCATCGACCACAAGCGTTTATCTTCCTGGGAGAGGGTGATTCGCGTGTGGTGTGTGTATATACAGGGTGTCAGTGAATGTTTAGGATTTATTTTTGGGTAGAAAAAGCGGACCAAACTGATCCGCTTTATCTCAAGTCCTCCTCTACCATTTTGCAATTTTCGCAATAGTTAATGAGTTATTATTTTTAAAAAAATTGTCTTAGCCCGGCCAATCGTCCAGTGTAAGCGCGCAGTGAGATGTAGCCAATGGCAGGCTCGTGATCGAATAAATATCTATTGTTGTAGGCATACAGGATGTTGTTCATGTGTAACTGTTGCCGTTTTTAATAAACAACTTCGGCGCGGGCCTGCCTCGCCACGCGCTTGCGCCGGGAGGGAGGCTAGACTAAGATGGAGAATTTTTACAATTAATAACTCATTAACCATTGCGAAAATAGCAAAAGGGTAAATATTCACTGACACCCTGGATGTATGTGTGCATATATATGTGTATGTGTGTGTGTACGTGTGTTCGTGTGTGTTTGTGTGTGTGGTGTCGTAAATTCTACGGATTACCCCCCTGTGCGTAGCACTTTGCCGGAAGTACCCCAGTTTCTTGCGCGCGTTTCTGCAGGTGCATGTCAAATGTACTTGTTTCAGGTTTCACTTTCAGCGTTTGTATGTGTTTGCCCAAGAAATATTTCTAAAAAAAAAGTTACAAAAGCGCATCTTTGGCTCCCCTCTTCCCCGAATGCATCCCTCACCATGTCTTAGTAATGATCTGCATTCTCGTGTACGCTGAAACAGAAAGAATAACCGAGTTTTCGTTCAGTCGAAAGGCCAGTGACAATTAGAATCGGAAAACAACGGGTGGAACTAAAACAATAATGGCACATCTTCTTACGTTAACTTTTAGAATTGGTCTCTTTCTGTTAGGAGCTATTTTCTAACAATGATTCGTAGGGGACCAAGCGTAGAATGACAAGAATGCAAACATCTCATGTGTAAATAAGATAAGTCATCGATAGAAAAAGCCTTAATTTACATGGTACTTGAACGATACGCTAAACGTACTCGGAATAAATCGCAATGACAATAGCGCACGAAGCCTTAATTGTATTAGTATGCATCAAGAATGGAATCGGGTTACATGAGTTAACAAGAATCCGAGATGACTCAAGTACGAATAAACGCTACAACCGTTATCTGGCCGCAATTACTCGATGATTGTAGTCACATTGCTGAAGGAAGCGTTACTGTTTATTAGCGCGAAATTACGGCGCGTCGATGAGCAAAACGGGGCGCAGCGGGAATGGTGTTAGTTCCGAAAGCAGGTCTCAGGCAGAGGCGAAGTTCTTGAGCGCCTTTGTAGGATGATTAGTGATTCCTTGTTACATCGAAAGTAGAACAACAAAATCACTAGTCTTCCATACAACGGTGCTCCATTCCTCACGCTGGGTTAGAGATTTCTCCAGCGCGTCGTCCTCCCATCCGTCTTTCTCTCTATCTCTCTCCTCTCTCTTTCTCTCCGTTCAAACTCCTTCACCTTTGCGGACATTTTATAGTCGCCTCGATCGTTTGGTTAGTCGAATTGTGTTAGTTCCTAAAGATGTGATGAGCCCGATGCGATGGCGCCGATGCCGGTTATAAAGCGGATGAAATACGAGAAATTATTGTCACGCATGACAACGACGAAGGAGCGTACTCCAAAGATTAGACACAGCAGCATATAAAATCGAAGACTCTGAATATGTCATCATGTATCATTCATAAAATAATATTGTGCACAATAAATCGACTTTACTGCATTCGCAAGAAAGTATTTACCAAGTTAATTATGCAGTGTTTGTAAAGTTAACTATATTCATGTTGCATAATATTTTGTGTGTATTAAGTTAATTATGTAGCGTTTATAAAGTTAAATATACCTTTTGAGATTAAAGACAGCATTATATATGTATACATGAATTATAATTCTCTCCTTTCTTCGATTTTATTTTAACAATTATCTTTTTATACCGTCAAGATATTTATGCAAAGCTTCGCAAAATCATAACAAAGTGATGGCGCATGAAATGACAATAATATGAATATTACAATGTCATACAAGCATTATATCGCACAATTTTTATTGCGTAGTCACAAGATGTACATGCTTAAACATCAAGGCTTCGTAATAGATTCTTCTACGTTTAATGACGCATTTAACACTAAATATGTTCGATTCCAAGTTTGGCCTATAAAGGCGCTATTTTACAGTGTTAACATGAAATAAAAAGCAGGTTCTTATGTTTAACGTTAAGTACATAGTAGGAATATGATATTAAAGTATCTGATCAAGTGTTGCAACAATTACCTCTGCTGCAGCAGGTACTGGGCCATTTGTATCTGACTGGGAATTCCAGTGATGGTGATGATGCGATCGTTGCTACCAGGCAGTGGCTCGTCTATAGTTATTCCGGCACCACTGTCAGATCTGATTTTTCTGATCCTCGCACCACCTTTGCCAATTATAGCTCCGGCCAACTGCAAACAAAGATAAGAGATTCTGGTAAATAAGCATATCTTATTTCAATATATAAACTAAGACCAAATGTACTTCGGTCAAACAAAGCGACCATCATTAAACATAACGGATATCAATAAGAAATTAAGCAAGAATATTTACGTTGTTACAGAGTGTAAAACGAACACGAGAAGTTTATGGTCTACTTACGTCTTTAGGAATGGTGACTTGTGTACTGGTCTTGTTTCCACTCATGTTGCCCTGGTTGCCTTGGTTGTTTCCACCCATAGGTGGGCCACCCATTCCCGTGTTATTGCCGCCACCCAGACCATTGGGCGCGCCTCCTTGCATTCCCCATCCATCACCTGCGACCAAAGAAACATTAACGGCTCGTATTTCGCGGATAAATGCACATGCCCGAATATTTCGGCGACGTGCGACGATTTAACGGAACGCTCGTATCAGTATCTCAATCTTCGTCGCGGAACTTCAATATCGCTACCGCGATCAAGGACGTACGGGTCTTCCGATTGAAGGCGGAACCCGATCGAGATGTCCCTTTGATCAGCGCTTAAATGGATCATCAAGACTCCTTCTTACCGTTGTAATTTCCGCTGCCGTAGGGCGGCGGACCGCCTCGGTTTCCGCCACCGCCGCCACCACCACCGCCGCTACCGCCGCCGCCGCCGCCACCGTATCCGCCACCTCCACGACCGCCTTCGTAGCCACCTCCACCGCCGCCTCCGCCGCCACCGCTGCCCACACGCGAGTTACCGCCGTATCCGCGATCCGGCGGACCGCCGGACATTCCGCCGCCGCCGCCGCCGCCACCGCCTCCGCCTCCGCCGCCGCTGCCACCGCCGCCGCGCGGGCCGCCTCGTGGCGGCGGAAAGCCGCGGTTCATGTCGCCGGGACCGCCGCCGCGGTTGTCGCGTCTCGGCGGCATTCCACCACCCCCGGCGCCCCCGGCACCGCCGCCGCCGCCGCCGCCGCCGCCGCCACCGCCGCCACGGCCACCGGGCCCGCCAAATCCACCGACCTTGCCCTGACCACCATCGGCGCTACCATAACCACCGTAGTCATCAGCATAAAAGTCGTCGAAGTTGTGCGGGTCGTAGGGATTGTTCACACCCTTCAGCGGAGACTGAAAAATAGAACAATAATAGTTAAATCAAGACCAATTCTGATGCAAATCGATAGGAAATAAGATAGTCGTCAGTAAATTCAATATTTCAATTTCAATTGTTAATATTTCAATTTAAATTGTTAATATTTTATTTAAATTTACATATTTTAAAACGATTTTTAATTATCCACGATGCTTACTAGCATTCTAGCAGAAATCTGACGTTACACTTCTCTCCCTTGAAGACTGGTCTCTCTTTCGCGCGTTATATACATGAGAACGAGCTGTGATCCATTAAAAAAAAAAGACTATTGATGTATCGCTATCCGCAAAAATTTCTAGCGATATATTCAAACGCGGGATTTGAACGCTACGGGAGGACGTGCAACAAATCAACCCTTTTGTCCAACAAAAGGGATCGACATTTGCCCGCACGTGCGTGATGTAACGGCGGGCGAATGTAGCTGTTAAAGATTGATGGGAAAGTCATGATCCCGTGGTATACTCACGGTTTTAATGGTGGCGATCAATTCGCGTATGCACTCGATGCACGTCGTGGGCTTCCCACAGATGCTGATGAGGCGATCCGTGCTGCGGGGGCAGGTGTTCGAATAGATCTTGATCCTGGCTCCAGTTTTCTGAAATGCAAAAGATGTTCGGGCACGTTAAACGACAGGCGTTTCAACACGGACTCAGGGGTCGGGATAGAGTTCGGGGGACTTCTCGCGTGCGGATTTGCATTGAAAAGAAGGCTTGGCGCAACGACGACTTCCGTTACGAGCGACAAGTCGGCGACGTCGGCTAAATAATAATTCTCTCCGACACACTTTCTCAACTCGGAACGCGTATTCTCGCAAATGAGAGTTTATCGCGTCTTCAAAAATTTCGCGAACGCAATTATCAAGCTGTCCCCTAATTGTAAGAGGAGTCTTCTCGAGATGCTGTTCAGTAAAAGCCAAACTGTAATCAAGTACAGAATTTGATGAAGCCGGCGCCTAGTTGGATCAATCAATTTTTTTTCACGGAATCCATCACTCAAAAAAATACTAACGCAGGTAGATTTCTCTAGAGCCCGTATTCTGAATCCTCTTTCATTGATAAAAGCGCGTCTAAAAGTAGCTGGTAAGCCTTCTGATTGGCTACAAGCCACTTTTAGAGACGCTTTTATCGACGAAAGAGGATTCAGAATACGGGCCTAGGTGTCGCAACAAAAATTTATCGCTATTTTGTGTATCCGTTAGAAAATTGTTTGTAGCCCACAAAATTTATAGCAGCAACATTCGTGTAATAGGGCCTAGAGAGTAGAGAAGTCTAGGTTCAAACCCTGGCTGAGGTAATATTTTTCGCTATAAATTTTCTGTATTAAAACACTGGCCGGTTAATGTCGACCAAAAGGCTCGATTATTCTAGTAATACCTTCTGGAAAGTTTAGGTTTCTGAGAAATTCGGTTTCTGTTATTTAAATTGACTCAACACGAAACATGTGCGGTTTCGCCATTTGGCTATGCATTTCTATATCTGTTATTTTTTTTCGTATCTAGAAAATTGTTGTTGCCGTTGCGAGATTATTTTTTAAGTCATTTTAGCCGGACGTAACGGGGAAAATGGCTACCCCGTAGTACTCTCTCAAGCGAGTAGCTTTTAATTCCTCTGTTTATTTAGATACAAGAGCAATGACTCGTCTACACGTCTTGGAGCAATCTAACAGTTTCATATTTCTGTCCTGTATCTCTTCCACCTTCGACTGCCGTAACGAAGCGAGTAACTCGACTCCTCGTTCGACGATTCTTTTTAATTACTCCGATAATCGGGCGTGAGTCACGATCAGGGTGTGTTACTCCGCGTCCGCTTCCTCGGCGGCTCTCGCACACCCCCGGCTAACGACTTGACGATGCTCGAATGTTTGCGTACCCGCTCCACTAATCCGCGCCGCGAGACGTTTCTAAGTAACACCCCGAGACGACAATGTTCAGATCGCGTGCTGATAGTCGTTTAACAGTCCGTACTTTCCGGGACCGCGATCACGCCACGTCGAGACGGCCGGGGGCGGAGGGACACGACCGTTCGGTGGCATTTAAATTTTTCTTAAGCCGATCCGACCTGTCGTTCGCGTCGTAAACCAATCAACCCGCGAGCTCTCGACGATACAAACGGCCGAAACGAAATGTTGTACGAGTAATTTTGCGCATTTGTGCGCGGGGAAGGGGAAAAGGGTGGACGGATGAACTGACAGACAGTGATGCATATAGGGTGGATACCGCGCGCGGAGATAGCTTTGATGCGACTAACGCAAAAATGAAAAATTGCCGATAACATCGACAGCCGTGTGCTCAAACGCGAAATATCCAAAACAGATAACAATCTATTCCGCGTGCACACGCGCGCGCGCACGCACACGCGCGCGCGTGCCGTGCCGCGTCCGGCAACCCGTGGCAGCATTGTACGGAGAAATCGCGCCGTTTAATTACGCAGATCAAAGCAACCCGCCTCCCCAAGCCCCGCCGTCCCCGTACTGGTCCATTCAACCGCTTCCGACGCAGAACAGCGTCCGGCGATATTCAGGCTCGCGAGCGTCTACCTTGGTACCTGGATACCAGGCATTAATCCCGAAGTGATAGAATCGAGGGGCGCATATGAGGACGGAGGAAGAAGGGGGTGGGGGATCGCAAAGTACGATTTATACGCGGCTTCGAGAGCCCAGTCGGCTCGGTTTCCGCGGCCTGCAGGAAATTAGCGCGATTCGGAGGGAGAGACTTGGCGAGGCCAGAGCCGCATTCTCTGCCTCGGTGCGGCGGGGGGGGAAAAAAAACAACCGGTGTTGTTCGATCGGCAGCGGGCTAAATGGCGAGCGGGCAATATCGCTCGCAGATACCTATATAATTGGTCAGTGGAATTCACAAACGGGCCGAGGAACAAAAGCTCGTGTCGCGTTGTAGAACCGGCCGCGCCGTCCGGTTTCGTGTGCCGCGATTCAAGAGAAAAATCGATGGGATCGGTGTTTACGCGACACGTGCTCGGAGGGGATGGGGGGGGGGCGCATTAAAAGCCAAATGCGATTTTAATCGAATTAATTAATTCGGCCGATACGATCGCGAATCAGCCGGATTAATTCCGGCGCGATAGGAACGAGAACGAGCGCGGATTCTTACGCGCGGCAACAGTTTCACAGATTGACAAGGATTGTTCCTGCAGTCAGCGTTATCTCTCTGACGTTTGAATCGTCGCGCATTCACCGGAGCCTGAGAGCGTGTCGTTAACGTGTCGAGCTTTTCCACTTGTATCAGCCGGCGCGTATCTTCCGAACGTCTCGAAGAGGAAATGAGCGCGCGTCGCGGTCTATTTGTTTATTCCGCATTGTCAAAGTGAGATTTATCGAGCTGAGTCAGCTAACGACTCTGATAACGAATCGGGGAGACTCGCTTGGAGAAGAGGGAAATAAAAGGCGAAGATGAAAGCTTCCGCTGCAGTGGGGAAGAGCGAGGCGCCCCCGGGGGTAGAGGAGGATCCTCGAGAGAAACTTCCGCTCGCCTGCCTTTCCGCCGGACTTTCCTCCGACATTCGATATCGGTAAGCTTGAAAAGAGCGCGGATCGATCGTTCTTTGAAGGAACCGATCTACCGTGAATAGCGGCGTAAAACAGCGGGAGCTGCGCGGGATCATTTCGGCCGAGACGTCGAGCGATATTACAATGTGCATTATGCACGCCGTACGCAGGCTCCTACAGGCAACCCCCTCGATCGTCCCTCCTGCCCGCACGTAGCTGTACGGATTTTCAATTTTCCAGAAAGTTTCCGAAACTGGAAACTTCTCGCGAGCACTTTCGCCCCCGCCCACTCGCGCGAACACTTTCTTGAATATTCAAGAGACGATAGAGATAATCAACTGTCCTCCGAAGTTTCAAGGTCGCCACTCAGAAACAATTATGCCATCTCGTGTACGCGCAGCTCGAAAGAACGAGCGTACACGCGTAGGAAGCGCTAATTCTCAGCGACACTTGTATCGCGCCTCTCGTCCTCGCGAGACCGTTATCTTCGCTATTAAAGAGATTTGTACTGGAAGATTTAGGTGGCTGTAACGTGCTTATGGTAATTCCGCGCAAACATCCAGGAGGACTTCAAAGTCCTCGGGCGGGGAGGATAACCATACGAGAGCGGTTTCGCGAGAATGAACCGCACTGCGCCACCGAATTTCGCGTTTGCTTAACAGTCCTCCGTTGCAGCGGCATCCGTAGCGCAAGTTTACAAACTTGCACGGTATTACCGGCGGCGTCATGCACTAATCTAAACGTGAATCGTACTATTCAATTCGACGGGACCGAAGTTCCGTCCCGCGGATGTTCCGCCCCGACGAGCGCTTTTACGTAAACGCCAACGAGCATCGCAACGACAACAATTGCAAATGCCAAACGAGTGTTATTGCTTGGTATTTGTCTATTATCGAAGCTCCATGTGTGCCGAATGTCGTTGTATTTTCGCTGCCAGTTGTGTCGACGGTGGCACGCGAGACTCTCTATATTCCTCGACTTTGACTTTGATTTCTTGAACGAGGCAAGTCATTTGCGTCAGCCAACCTCTAATTATTTCAGAGATAATCAGAATCATTATTTATTACACGCTCTGGGACAAGTCCCCTCAAGCGTAATAGACACTTTTACATGGCAAACAATAAGTTAATGCAATTAATGTTTAGATTATACATAACGCTGTAAATAAAAGAAAGAAAGGTAAAAAGAAAAGATATGATAATATGAAAATTAAGATAATTAAGTAATAAACAAACGTATATGAAGAAATATAAAAATGAGAGAGAGAACACACGTATCGAAATTTAAACCTCGTGCCTGTGAATCTAAAATAAATTTCGCGAGACATGCGATTACGATGAAAATAATTCGATAGTTCTTACAGAAAACAATAGCGGACTGGGCTCGGTGGTTCGAAAGAATTACGTTTCTACGAATAATAAACTCTCTCCAAACGAGCGTAAGTCTAATAGACGATGCTTTTAAATTATAGCAACGTTTCCGCTTACGGTGCGTGACTCTATTCTGCAACTCATCGCTAGCAGAGTATCACCTGAGGTACCCGAGGTACCGAGTTGATGAATTTTCATGAGATCGTAGTTCGTGCAGGCGCGAAATTCATACGCATTCGCGACGCACCGTCGGCGAGGAAAGACAGCCGTTCGCCTCGCCGCCACGATTCGCCACAGCCACTTAGCGACCGCAGTCAAGTGACACCACGGGAAGACGCGTGAGGGTTGTATAGTCGCAAATAACCGATTTTTTTTCAAATCAGGTAAGAAACCATGAGACACACGAAATCCCACGACCTGTACAAGGCCCGATCTAACATCTCTGCTCTTTGCGTCTACATTCTATTTTATAGCCAGTAAACACGTTTAAAGTGTGTGCCAGTTGATAAACTTTATATTATACATTGAACAATTGTACATTGTCGACAAATTTTTTGAGCGTATCAAGTCGCCTGAATAGAAAGTTTCTCGTTACGACAAATACCATGTAGATTAGACTTAAGCTAGCGTCACACTATGCGCGACTCGTGATTCGTACTTATATTCGTGAATAGTGTGGGTGAAAAATTCATCGATTCGCCATTCGCAGTGATTCGCTAGCCGAACGATTTTTTTACTAATATTGAGACTCGACAAATTGTAGACTTCTGATACAAGCCCTGTGATAATAGATAAAGATTAAAAGTTGTCCACACGAACGAAACGACAACTAACAAATGACGAATGATAAACTGCGAATCACGAGTCGCGCATTACGAATTGCGCATGGTGTGGCGCTAGCTTTAAATGTCAACAACTACCGCCGCGGACGGTCGAGATAAGCGACCCCGACATTCGCGTTTCGCAAATCGCCGTGGCTATCGATCAAGAAATTAAAATTTACATTACTGGATATGGTGCCGGTCGATAATCGGAAACTTCGAGTCGCGCGATTCTCGACCGGCGCCGTACACGCGTACTTAAATAAATAACGGCGATTAATTAAATATGGATGACGCGCGAATACGCCGTACGGATTCCAACGTCAGTAGAAATTGGACGAAGATACGGGGGAGACCATAAAATAAATAAGATATCGCCCGCTCAATACGCCGCGTGCGCACGCGGCGTTTTGTCGGAAATGCTGGGAGAAAAATGCGGCGAAAGAGAGAATCCACCGCGCACGGGAAACCGTTTTCGCGACATGAAATGCGACAGGTACGAGAGAGACCCGCTTTCGCCGTCGACATCCGCGAGGAGAAACGAAAGGAAGGCAACAGCAGTAAAGGCTCTGAATGCGTGAGATCGCGACCGAGAACGCGACAAAGCGCGTCGTCGCCGTCGTCGCGTTTACAGCTTATTTTCCCTTTCAAAGTGCTCCCGTCCGATCCGCGACCCGAGATCAAGTCAAAATAGACGCGTGCTTCGTCCGAAGGTGACACGAAGGCTTTGGGCATCTTCTCGAAGCGATCTGATAACGATACAACGGCGGGGAGACTATTAAGAATCATTGCTCGCACGAGGCATTTCGAGGATCTTGCCCTCGCGCTATTTCACAGAGACTCGTTTCTTTTTCAGTGGCAGCATGACGAACGTCTACACGCTCGACGAAGTTGCCCGTCACAATACCGAAAAGGATCTGTGGATCGTGATAGACGGCTCGGTCTACGATGTCACGACGTTCTTCAAGGAACATCCCGGTGGCGAAGAGGCGATACTGCAGTCGGCGGGGGAAGACGCGACAGAAAATTTCAACGGCATCGGTCACAGTCAGGACGCGATTAACCTTCGCAAGAAATACAAAATCGGAGAGCTGGCGGGTGGCGCAAGATCCGATAGATCGATAAGGAGCACAGGTTTGTCAACTCTTGCTTCTTTGCTCGATCGCCATCTCGTTTCAAGTGCGCGGCACTCCATTAATATATAATGTAGTTCTACATGTTTCCGTAGAAATTTAATTTGTCACGCAGATTGCGAGCTAAATAGATGAATTTTACAAAATCGGTAGCAAGTTGGAGAAGAATAATGCCCATATCTGTATCGTTCGTGTACGCGTACAGGTTTTGAGAACAAACAACGATAATGACCTAGTTTAAACCTAGTTTGTTCGCGCAACCCGACCTATACCCTGACTTAAAATAAGCTTCCAAATGAAACGATTGCACCATTTTCACCTATAATACTCTCAGGTCGAATTTAAATGACATAGGTGAAAATTAAATCAAAATGTGAACGCCTTCAGTTGAACGTTATCTCTTTCAACCCGAGCAATTTTAAGCGATCTGCGTTTACAAGCGTTATATCGCGCGGTCATCGTCGGGTCAGGGCAAGTGGAAAAGAGAGTGGAAGAGAGACAAGCCAAGTCGAGTTGTTTAGCAATTGTGTACACCGTCGCGACTTATTGTGAATAGGTCCAATACAAGGTATAGGCCAATATTGTTACACGAATCAATAACGAAACACGTAACAGAGAATGCCTAGCAAAAATAATAAGTAAATAAAATCGAGACTGAAGTCAATCTGCATTGATAGACTCTAGTGATCGCTTTTAAACCTAGCACGTTTGCGTTACGTCAACAATCACGAATGGTGTAACAAGAAATGTTATTAACGCATTTATTGCCAACATCCTGTTGCTGCCTCAGTAGAAAATCAGGTCTATATATCATAGTCGTAAATCATTTGTCTTTCTTCTTTATTTGTAGAGAAAAAACGAACAGCGATGGACGAGCCACCGAAGGAATCAAAACCGACGACTTCTGCCTCTTCTTCTGAACAACCCTGGATTCTGCTGTTCATATGTGTCTTAGTCGTAATTTATGCCATACTTTTCTACCGGTATTCATAACTATTACTATAGTATCTACTAGACCACAGTAAACTGTGCGTAAAATATAAGACGTGACATATCAATTGTAACATAACGCTACAATCTACAAGATGCGGTGTTATATATAATTCAGTCGAAGCCACTAGTTTCCTTTTCTTGTTTATTAAATATCTTAAAGATTTTCCTTTCTTTGATGTAAAACTATTTTCTTACGTAAATGTCTTAATAGATGCTTATGTAAAAATTTGATATTTATTATTCAGGGAAATAAGGAAAACTTAATTATGTTTTTTAGCTCGACTTGTAACGATCTCGCTGACAAAATAAATGATCCCTATTTAAAAACGTATCGTTTATTGCGCTTATCGTGTCCATAGAATATCGTGCGTTGTAATGCAACTTGTAACGAGGCATGTATTACAAAGCGAAGAAAATAACATTCGAAGGAGGTAACTCGGAGGCATAGCTTAGTCAATTTTCTCATCTTGATATTTAACTGCGTTTCATGCGCGCGATATACTTTAACTTTACTCCACCGGAGAAACGTATGTCGAAAGAAAATATCGGCAGGTTCGTCTAAAATGTCTCGAAAATGAATTGCGTATCATTTATGAATACACCGGTACGGGCTGCCATTCCGCTAAATTACTGACATTATGAAGATACGACGTGAAGTATCTATATTAATGACAATAGACGCCTATTGTCGGTGAAGTATATTGCGTCATCATTCGCTGTCGATTCGAAATATTCTCCATTATGGAAAATTACGGAGGGAAAAAATATCTAATCGCACACACAGCGATACATATGTGTACCCTTATACATGTATACAAGGTGTTCCAGAATTAGCGAACATGAAATATGCAGTGCACTTTTGCCAATATTGTATCTGGACGGTAACTCTTATATAATTTTCGTGATAATTAATAGTCATTATGAAGTCTTTAGTAAAAGATAACACGCACGTTAAATTCAAGTTGCTCTTATCTAAAAGCTATCGTTCATAAATACATGCAGAAAAATGCGGGGTGTGTGTGTGTGTGTGCACGTATATTCTTTCTTTGGTTTTATGCGTATAAACGCTTGTGCGATGTACGCGCTTACAAAAATGTGACCGACCAGCTAGCTCAACTATCACGCTTATCTTCCTGCGATTTGCGCGGCGTCACAGTGACTAGACGCTTTTGCATATGAATCGAACATCATGCCCGCAAAGTACGTGAGTTCACAAACAGGAATACTATCTAGCAATCTTACACAAAACCGTCTAGGTAATCGCCATTATTCTTATTGCGTGTCTTCGGGTTGCTGCGGAGCTTTCGGAAGATATCTTGCGCAGGTAGATGATCATTAATGCGAGGATTCGCAATCAGAAACGAAAAATGCAATTACGGATAATATATATCGCGCGTGATATATTTATTAATCGATGTGCTGATTGTATAATCACAGTCCAGTGGAATGGAATGAATGGTGGCGATACTTTTACTCGCGAAGGTTACTTATCTGACAAAATATCGATAACATTTTGCTCCGATAAACGGAAAATATCTGTCCGAGTGCGGTTCGTGAGCTACGCGCGATAAAACGAGACTTTTCCTTTTGACTGAAAAGTGTGTCTATTGATGTTTCCAGACACTCTGTATGCTACAATTAAACTGATAAACTTGAGTTGGCAGAGTTGCCGTATCTCAGTTCGACGATCTTCCCTATCCTACAAAAGTCTCGGAACTGCGTTCGTACTACGTGCAAACGTCTCGTGATTGACTAATTGACCGCAATCTCTCGCGCGTACATTTCGGAGCTGCTCTTACAGACAGGAGTGGCCTTGAGCAATCAACGATTATCCGCGATCACAACATTACTAATCTAAAATCGCGAGCGTCCTGAAACGAGACCGCGATACATTGGCATTCGGGAACTTTCACGATTAAGCCTTTTTCATAAAGAACAGTATATTATTAACCTGTAGAGGGCCAGCATTTTTCCACTTAAATTTGTAGTTTTTTAAAGGTTAATGAGTGAGTTCACAAATTCTTACAAGAGTCGACTAGAGACCCTCTAATCGGAGACTGGCCACAAGAAGGCATTCGCAGTAATTGGTCCGCCATTTTGCGTCAATTCGCGACGGTTTTATAAATATTTTTTAAATATATGTAAAAATACCATTTCACGGGTTGGAAATCGTTTATCATATTTTAAGTACAAAATATATCGTTTAATCGTTTTCATGATTAACGGTACTGAGCACGGGTACAATCGCAACCATTCAAATTTGGGTTCAGTATTATGGCTTCCCCCCGCATTTTGGCTTCACTCCCCTCGTCCATGAATCAGGTTCGTGCTCCGTCCCTATGTTCCTATGTCCATGGTATACACAGGTCTAGAAATAACATCGAATTTCGAGTGGTGGGAGTGTTATCGTTAATGAGTTGGACTTTCATTCGCGTTATCGTCACTATGCGTCGCTACTGTTGGGGAACACGTGCGAGCAAAAAATGTATGCTACTTCTGTCTCTGTCTCGCACATGATATCAGTCTACCATAGCGTACTACCTTGCAGCTCAGAATAGAAGTAAAAATAAAATTGTTAAGAGAGATAATCCCCACCATTGTCGTTTCCAGACCTGTGTGCAAGACCGTGGGCCAAACTCTGGTCAGAGGACCCTCTCTAGAAGTCGACCGTTCGAGTCTGCCATCTAGACATAGCTGCGATCTAACACGTCAGCGCTGCAAAAGCAGGTTGGCAACATCGCGGCTGGCCTCCAGATAATCAGCCGCGAGAGAAGCCGGTGCGGTGGGGTCCGGACGACGAGAGGAACCAAGAGGGGGACCATAAGGCTGTACGAACAGACTGGATTCCGTAGTATTGACGCGAGTGCGGCTTCGAGGAGAGGTTTCCGCGCGACGTCTCGTCGACGGAGATCATCGAGATTCGCACCTGCGTCGCATTTGTGCCGCTGCCTCGCGTTCCTCACCGGAGATCCGTCTGCCCCCCTTCAGGGAAATCGACGTGTCCGTAGCGCACCCTTCGGAGGTACGAAGAGGAGGTATTTATGTCTGGTCGCCGTCTGCCGTCAACTCCCTCGGACGAGCAATATTCCCTGCGAAGACTCGACGAGGTCTCAACGAGCCATCCGTTTCGAGGGAAACGTGGGAAAGGGCCCCCTATCGATCCGACGCACTTCTCGAGCTCGTATCTCGCTCGTTCGACGGCGGAGATCTCTCCGCCCGCCGACGACGACGATCTCTCGCGAATGGACGTCTCGAATCGTTATCTCATCGCGAGTGTACCCGCCCGAGTGCCTGTGATCGGACCAAGTTTGATTATTGTAAGGGTCGAATCCGTGATCCTTGAGGCATATATTGACTTCTCTCAATGGCAAACGTAACGGAGAGCGAGAGCTACAGCTGCCGCATCGGGGCGAGTCTCTCAAGTGGCGCTTTCATCCGAGGAAATATCCCTCGCTCGGGAACGTTTTCCCCGCGCGCCTTTCCGCGCACTCGGCAAATTACGCCAAGTACCGTTATATGTAAATTTCGAGGAACCTATTAACTAATGGTCCCCAATCCTACGGCAGCGGCGTGACGTTCGGCTCCGCGCGGAAACTGCTGTTTATCGAAACAACTGCGCAGCGGATTGCACCGCGTGGCTGCTTCAAGCGGGATCATTAGACAGCAAAAATATATGCACGGATATCTCATTCATATTGCGTCATTAATGTTACAGAGGTGCAATGATTGCGTGACAGATATTTGTTCGCTATGCCTTGTGCTGCATCTGAAGTAATTTGTCAAGTCACTCGAAGACATCATTATCGCTCGAGTATATAATAGATTATATCTCGAACAACAACAGTGCAGTTTCGAAAATAACTGTGATAGCCCTTGGTAACCAGCTGAACGCTTGTTACGCAATCATTTCGCCGACCTCGACATGATTATATTGAGCAGCTTCGTTGCTCGTTTCTTACACATGACGTCATACTCCTAAATTTCTTTCTGACGTCATTCTCCAAAGTTGATAGGGCAATCACGTTACGATTAACCTTTTTGCGAGTAAGCGTTATCGGTCGCAGTTGCGATCTCGCCTTATCGAGACATCAAAGCAGAAAGAACACATAACGGAATCGTACTTTATACATATTACATTATATTGTGGAACGCGTTTTTGTATTACGCGAGACAGCAGGAAAAACATTTTACATAATATCGAAGCCCCGATGGAAACAATTCTAACACATTCTTTTTTACCTTCAGATCGACTTCGTGAAGAAAAGTAGCGCAAGATCAGCGGAGACATGGTGGAAAAGCAGCTATTCACGCGGGCCGAGGTCGCAAAAACCAACGACAAGGACAAAGTCCTTTTCATCTTGCACGACAAAGTATACAACGTCCGCAGCTTCCTGAATGAGCATCCGGGTGGCGAGGAGGTGCTGCTGGATCACAAAGGCATGGACGGCTCCGAGGACTTCGACGACGTCGGGCATTCGAAAGACGCGATGGAGCTGATGAAGAAGTATCAGGTCGGCGTGCTCGTCGAATCGGAAAAGACGAACAAATCGCCGAAGAAGGGCTGGGTGGCGGGATATTCCAACGCGACGAAGACAGAAAAGTACGTTAAAGGACCTGGTGTGCCTTTCTATCTACTCATGGGCGGAATCGCGCTCGTGGTGGGCCTCTTTTTCTATGCATATTAATCGATCGGCCGAAATGAATACACGCGAGAACGCGCTGGATGTGTGATAATGTGATGTGTGATATAAAACGAAAGAATAATCTTGTATGCCTCTCCACGACCTGGTATCAAAGCGTATCTAAATAATTAACTTCTTTTTCGAGAGAAAAGTTTTACTCTATATATGTGTTAAACTCCGTTATACATATATAAATCGATAATATCCGATTAATGTTAATGTTGTCAATATCGGAACATAGTTAATTACAGTGGAATATTTCTTATTGCGAACAATAAATTAGAATTAACTGCTGAGACTATATGTAGAAACGTGAACTCTCTTTAATTAAAGTACCTATATTTCCAATGGATTAACTTTAATCATTAATATTTTAACTGCACGTCTATATCTGGGTGACGAGTAAATTTCTGTAAAGACCCCTGTTACTCATTTGTGACAGCTTTTTATCTAAGAATAATTTTACTACTTACGACATTAAAAATATGTAAATTGTATTAAGATATTTAAAAACTTCTAAGCTATTAAAATAATATACGTATAGATTCATTACGTTACAAGTAACGTTACATAATGACTAAGCAACACAAGTGTTATCTGATGACTCATCTTGTCCATAATATTATTCTCTCTACACAAGGAATTTGCTTTAATTCAAAGCACCCTGCAAATCATACGCGAATCGGACAAAACACATTAGTAGTATATCTACGATTTTAAAATATTCTTAAGAATCAAATGTATTAATATATGTATTTTATTTAATTTTGAATTTATGAAACCATAATCGATAAAGTGTTGAGAAAATTTTTACGTACCTTAATATACTTCAAAATATTAATTTTTAATTAAATGTCAGCGAAAAATTTGAAAAATTACTAAATGATCGAAGTAGATTAGAGCAGTGCGTGCAAAGCTAAGAAAACTAAGAAAATATTGAAATGTATTGGATTTATCTTATCAATTCAACGAATTGTTTTTTACAACAATATCTACATGTTTGTAAGTTCAATGTTTCTACAAATTTCTCATCGTTACATTTCGAGCTAAATAATCGCTTCTATTGTATAAGTTTTGAAATTTATCGCTCCTACTTTGTTTGCTTTTTACAATTAGATAAGTTAATAATAAATAAGAATATAAATGCGTCCATATAATCTTATCTAAATATATATTTCTACTGGCGAATGATAAAGCCGTTGTTAATTTTCATGCGATACAAAGAGGAGGTTTTGTTTTCAAACATTTATACAAATTTCCATCCCGAAATAAACTACGATAGTCCACTTTCTATTCTTGCGAATTGTTGTAAAACGATACGTAAAGTAAACCACCAAAGAGGTCGCGAGTTTTCACAATCCAGCGGGCGTTTTTCCGCAAAAACATACGGACGGCTGAATCGCGAATGTTTGGAGACAACTAATTGCGAGAGTTAAAGCATTTTAATGAAGGGAACCAAGTGCCAGCTGGTTAACTGGAGTGTAAGAATTTAACGACACGCGAGTGCGCCATGTGAAATCGAGAAGGAGGGAAAGAACGTGGGAGAATCGACAGAATCCATTCAAGGCTGAAGAATAATACCTACATATGTTATTCGCGAATAACGCATACGTTTTATCCAGCGGAGCAATATAAACAATAATTGTGCCTTTTACGCATTGCCTATATTACATTGTACCGAGTGAAAGTCGCTTTTCGAGCACGAGCGCGTGAGATATATTATTTAAATAAGAGTTTCCATTGTATTCGCAATTGGTCTGATCCGCTTGTTAAGCGTTCCACGTAATTGTCGTACGACTATCGACACTAATTGTAACCCAGGGCGGACGTTACCCGCCCGCGGCCGTCCACGTGTCGGCGTTTACACGCCCGGCCATCCGGGGGTCCGTCGCTTTTCCGAACAAGTGGTGGAAAGTGGTCGCATTGTCGCACCGCCACGTCCGACCACCCCCGTCAACTTCGCGCATCCATGCACGCGTGTTGGAACTCGCGGGAGGAGGCACGGAGGAGGGACGGTGACATATGTGGAAAACCACATATCCTTCCTGTCAACCGTCGGCCATCTGCTTTACATACCGACTTCCGGCGCCGGCGGAAACTTTGAAACGCACCCAACCCCCCGGCTTCTCTGGGTCGCGGGCTTCAACTCTCATAATTCTATCTTTCTCTCTCTCTCTCATAACTCCGTGCTTTTCGTTTCCTTCCCTTTCTTCCTTTCTTCTTTTCACTTTCGTGTATCTCTCTCCTCTTCTCTCCGCGAATTCTTCGACGTTGCGCAAGCAGACGATGACGATCTCGCATGTGTTGGAGACCCTGTACCATAGTATAGTATAACTACAATAATATGCCCACTCTGTCATTTGTTTTGTTTCGCGTCGATCCTTCCTGCGCGGCCGCCATCTTTTTGGTGCAGCCAATGAGACGGGTGTTGTATATGTGGTAGTGCGAAATCGGTGCGACTGGATTTTATACCAAAAACATGGCGGAATACCACGTGATCGAAACCGAATCAGGATCAAAGGACCGCCAGAGAGTGGGCATACTGGTTAGCAGTAAACGTATATTCGTTTTCAAAAACGAGATTTTTACATCTTGTAAGTCAGGTTGACAAGTTGTCAAGTTCTATTTAGTATGGTAAACGGGGTGACGTCTAGAATTTTACAGATCTGCCGTAAAATGTTTGCCCCTTAAGCTAATAATAGTCACGAACGGTTGACTGAGAAAAGTCAAGGTGTGGTGCTGACGTCAAGTCGAGCGGGAAACTTGAAGGGAAAAACTTTCGAGTGACTCCCCTGTAAAATTCAAGTTTCGTGACTTAACGCAGTTTACCTCTGAGGCACTGATACGAAAACCACAAGATTGTTTTGTGTTTCGCTCGCAACACTGTGCTTTCGCTCGCCCACGATGCTCTAGACACGATGGGGAAAGCAGTAGGAGAAAAAAAAATCGCCACCGGTGTAATTAAGTAAATGAAACGAATTAAAACAGCCAAGCAAGATCGTATTGATCGGGATACAAAATACCTCGTACTCCTCGATATCAAATAATTACGGATTATACAATGTTCGTCGTGTAACTCTAGCTCATCCAACTCGAGACGCTACTCATCCTCCCTGCGGCGGTAAAGGATCGTTTACATTTAGATGCCAGGGCAGAAACGCGATTTTTTTTTTCTTATTTCTATTTGCCGACCTCTCGATGGCGGCTCGGCGCCGCTCTCTTTGCGAGGAAGCGGAAACTCGATACGGTCCCTTTGAAGGGTCATGATTCCGTCCCTCTCCTTTTCCACCCGGTGAAACGTAACTTAAAAAACACCGGCGCGTGCCTCGTTGCGAGGCGGGCGTAAATGTTTCAAAGAACCTAACGTCGCTCTAAGAAAACCGTGGCGATAATGCGATTCCGATTGAATTACGCGTTTCCGGAGTGTCTTTCGCCCGTTCTACTTTCGCGGTCGCTCGCGAGCCATTAAGTCGCGCCGCGCAGAGATTGACGGAAGGCTGAACAGCCGATACGGATAAATGACACCGCGATGATCTAGACGCTTTCGCGCTGAGTAGGAATGGCGGTACGACACGCCGCCGAAGTCGTCCGGTCGTTCCCCGAGCGGAAAGAACGGGGACAAGAGCGAGGTGCGCGAAGAAAGAAAGCGAGTCCGCGGTGAAACGAGGAGCATTCTCAAATGGACGTAACGAGTTCTCGGCAGTTTCCCGGTTGCTTCTTGCCGCCGTTCACCCCTGTTCCACCCTTGCTTTTTCCTACCGAACCCGGTCTCTCGAAAAGCAGCAATTTTTCCAATCCCTCTTAGATAAGACGCTTTAACAGAGAACGGGAGGAAGGGAGAGCCGTAACAAGATGCTATTTTCCTCGTTGGTGACGAGGAAAATAAACTGGAGAACGTCAGCGGTAACAGGTGCATACGCAAAAGGGTAATAGACGAAGCGGAGGGAGAGACGAAGTGCTCGGGCGAGCACGGAATCGTAAGGCGTGTTGCTCTGCCGCCGCGGCAGCGACGGCGGATACAATAAATTATTCCGGTAAATGTTGCGCACGCGGCCGTCCCGCCGCGTTCCCGAGGACGGCGATATTTCACGCGTCGCGAGATGAGCGCGCGGCACGCATGCGGATTTATGCGGCAAATTGTTTTTCACTCTTCTTGTTTCGCGAACGCTCGGCTGCTCCGAGCCCGCGTACGTATGTGTAAGGAGCACGCGAGGGGGTAGGACGGCAGATGAATACGATAAAAACTTAATTGCCCGAAGGATGAATCGGTCCATCTCTGGCCGCTCCTCCGCGCGACGCAAGTTCGCAATACCGTGTGATTAATGAGGGGGCGGGGAAGGATTTCCGACCTCGAAAAATTCTCGAATGACGATTCGAATATCGATTCGCGCGATGCAACCGAACTGACCTTACATGGTTGCGAGCGAAATTGCAGCCAAAGTAGATAAGCATCGAATGGGTTACTCCGGGGTAACAATGGAAGAAAACGCGGAAATAGCACGGGTTTCCCCTGTTTGAAATCTCTATTTCGCATATACCTTTCACCGGTAAACGCATGGGACTCCGAGAGGAATTGTCACTTCGTCTCCCGAGTGTTAGCGAGATGGGTGCCCGTCGAGAGAAGAGACAGGTTGAGAATCGATCGAGGAATTCCCGGCCTACGGAAGGAGCGCGATATCTGGCGACGTTCTATAAGTGTTCGCGGAACCGACGATCATATGAGAACGTCTGTTTGCGACGGTACTTGCATCGCGAGACGATGCACGTGCAGGATGCAGGATGCATCGTGCGCTTGTGCCCCGGGGGTGCGTCGACGCTCGGGGTGATGCGGATGAAACATCGATCCGCGTGCGATTATAGCACGGCCGTTAGAGTAACGGAGTGCCTAAAGTTTTCAGAATGTGGGCAAGTAGAGAGGAGCAGAGGATGGGGTGAGGTCGAATAATGGGCGCCGCAGCCATCGGCTGTGTACGCAGCTTTTCGAGAGTGTTTTAACGAACTCCAGACGGCGTCGTCGCGGGCGAGGAACGGAGGGAAAGAAATGCTGAAGGGCATTTTTTTTCTCCTCTAGGCTGCGAGATCGGCGAACCGACGAGAGCTACTCGTTGAGAGGCTCGATCGATTGTCGACGGAATGATCGCGAGACACTAGTACGTTCTTCAAAAATTTTAATATTTAAAAATCATCCGAATGTTGATTTCTTTTTTAGACAAAATGGGAATATTCTTAAGATTTAAGTCAATTCGATTACTGTTTAGGCTTCAGCCTTTTCCTTAATTTTCTTCTTAATTAAAAAACTAATATTTGAAAAAGTACCGAAAGTAAGTGAAGATCTTTCATGACATGTTTAACACGTGTTTTAACGGATGTAAAAAAATTTGCGTAAATAAAAAGAAGGTATCGATATTTGAATATGACAGAAAAATTTTGTAGAAAAATTTAAAACTTGTCTAAGATCTAAAAATCTCTATAATTTATAACACTTCGATATTCGTGAACTAAAAAACAAAATTGCCGAAGGGACAAGTCTAACAAAACTTTTTAATAAAATTTAAACTTTCCCCAGGAAAAAAAAAACATTTTGAAATACGTCTATATATTGAATCGAAACTTTAAATTGCCTCGTTCACGTCAAGTTGTGTATATTGAGTAAACCAAGAAGAATTCATCGGTTTTCAGTGTCCACGCTATACAATTTCCGGACGTCTCGCAGCGGGTTCAGTTCTCGCTCACGATGATGATCAAAGACGACGGCCACGTGGCGAAGCCCGTTCGTCTCGGAGAAGCCCGAGCTCCTCTCAGTGGACAGTCTAATATCGCTAAAAGCTTTTTAATAAACAGTCTTAGAGTCCCGCGACGAGTGCGCACCGACATACGTGTCAAGGTATGCGCTTGCACATGTACACACACGCATTGCACATGCCTCTATGCGACATTCCCGTGGGAGAGATGGTTGAGGTACGCCCTGGTCGGAAAGACTCCGAGGGGAGGGGAATAAAATGGCACACAGGACCGAGGAGGTATCGCGGAAATTCGCCTTTCGTAACTCGGCAGACGCGGCGGACGCGATGTATGAAAATGTAAGTCCCGTGGAAGGGCCGAGAGACGAAAGGGACACTCGCGGGGAGTGGCGACGTACGATGCGGGGAGAGGAGCTGTTTATTTTACAGAGTGGAGGCTAAGACGTACGATATTGTCCCCGGCAAAGTGGCCGGGTTCTATTTTCGAGATTCCGTTCCCTTCCCCTCCACCCGCGCCTTTCTTCCTCCTCCCTTTTCGTACACCCCCGTTCGCCGTCCGTTTTCCGCGAACGGCATAAATTTCCGCCCGAGAAGTACGGCGCAATGACACGCGAACTCTCGTTCGCTTATTTTTTTTTTCCTACCACCGCCCTTTCTCGCGAAGTCGAGCACGTGAGCACCTTATCACTGGGAATGGGATTGTAATTGCATCGCATCTATCGAAAGACGATGATAAATTACACAGCGGCATTAACTATCGTTACGTAAAAGAAAAGGGTCGAGGGTGATAGTTGGAAGTTAAATTGATGTTTGATGTAAAATAAAAAACAATTTTCTCGCAATGCACTCGAAGCAATCATTGCGTAAAAAATTGGCGAACATGTTCTAAGTGCGCGGTCGCCGATGTAGATCGGACGACAAAAAAAATCATTGTTGCGGGGAATTTCGATGGATGCAATTCATCTCTCGACAGGATGCGATTTAAGATTAAAGTATGACACATTGGAAGAGGGGGAAAGGGTTCGCTGAAATTCGCTCCTCTCGGCAGACGTGGAAAGTGTACATAATAAAAGCTTCCGGATCAATTTTCTCCCGTTCTCACGTGCGAGCCTAAAAGGATTCCGATCTCTCCTTCAGTCTCTTCTCCACCCCACGGCGTGAACGAGAAATTACATTAAAAGTCGCCGATGAAGCTTTCACCAATAACGTGATCTGAACATTCATCGACAATCTATCGCCGAATATTTTTCCTCGGCAAATATAAATATTATTTTCGCGAATACCGCCGAAGACGATTTTCCGTCATCCTCGGGGGATATTTCGGCGTCCGCGGGTTTTTTTTTGCGGGAAATTTTACCTTCGAAAACGTAACAAACGAGAAATTTCTGGTACGCAGAAGTCGGTGCACGTGCACGTCGGCGGGTATTGTCGGTGTAACTTGGTGTCGGCGAAATAGGCGTTCGCGAAAATATCGTCAGCGAAACCTTCGCCGCTGATTGCAACGTAAACCGGGAAACATGTACGAAAGAGGGACCCCCCGTGCGATATGGCTCTCTCGTTTTTTTTTCCTCAAACATCCAATCGTTCCCATCTGACCCGTGGATTCGACAAATCTACGTTTCTGGGGACGCCGGCGTTGATGAAATGTGATTTTCGTCGGATATCGCGCGCGAGGTGACCCACCGATACAAAATTTTATCATCGCTCATTTCCTATAACGATAAACTGCAACGACAAACCATCGCTGTACCGCGGCTTAAATTCAAGTAGGTCACTTTGAAATTTGTCCGCGAAACGACGTCAGCATAAATTTAAAATACCCCAACGTAGTACGCCTCCTCCTCCATGCAATTTTTATAATAAATTGAAATAAATGACTTCAAGTGGGGAAGAACCGAATTTCAATGAACTTGAATTCGTGTGTATTTCCGCGGGAGATTAAACGCCGGAATTAAAAGTGAATCGAACTCCTAAGTCCATTTCGGGCTCGATGGATATCGTGAGGGTTGATACCGGCTCAGCGTTTTACCTAAATGATAGGATCGCAATGTCCGATAAAATGGCCGTTAAAGGAACAGTTTTCCTAATGCTTTATCTAGCGAGAGATAACCCGGAGTTATCTATCTCCTCCCAGTTTCGTTTGCGCGTTCGTCTACATATGCATTTCATGCGACACGCTCGGCCACGTGGCAATAGAGATAACGCGAAACGAGAGAGCGAGCGGTCGTCTCCAATCCGGAGACAATGCAAG